TTACCAGAGTAAGTGGCTCTATGTATCGAAGGTGTGTGTGGATCTAATTTCGATATTCAAAAGGGTTATTAAATTTCTTCTAAATTACGCAAAAACTTTTGCGTAATTTAGAAGAAAAAAAACGCAAGCCTGATAAATGGAAATAATCACTTGTTGCTGAAGTAGAATCTCAAAACGTCATCCTACCCCTCAGACTATGTGAGGTACTTTATCAGATGGCGTCCCAGCAACATCCTTTTCATCTGAAACCATTTCAGTTTTTTTTTTCTTGGCAAAAACCAAAAATCGTTTTTTATGGAGACGTGCAATCATCTCTGCTGCCTCCTTTATACCAAGCATATATTTTTCAAATCATTCAGATTGATAGGAAGAAACAGTCTCTGAAAGAGGGCGGTGAATATGAGGATTCGGCCCTGCTTTTGGCTATCGCCGCTCATTACAAATGGATCAACGAATTGACAGGTGAGAAAACCCATCCGGGGTGTTACCCTGAAAAAAATGCTTCATTTTCAGCTGAGCTAGTGCAATTGCTCCCAGCGTTAGTAAGCATTGATGAATGGGAGCTGGCTAGTTCCCTACAATCGTCAGTGGAGAAATTTATCACCGAGGTCTCTTCGAGAAAACACCACATCTGGCCACAAAAACTTCATCCACGGGACTTGCCTGGACCTCTATATGCTCTGGTTTGTTGAGTCTTCTTTTTAATTCTAAAGGTCAATTCACTTGGTTTCAGTACACTGTTGACGACGTGTTTGCCTTTCCTAATGACGGTGGAATGCCTGGAATTATTACGCTGGGTAGGATCTTCTTCTATCGTATAGTCATTTTTCGTTTTCAAAAGTCTGAATTTAGAGCCTGAAATGGTTGCGCCCACCATCAATACCGACATCAAGTGGAAACTACAAGTCTTGGAGAAGAAATCTAACCTCCGATAGTAAATACCGTGAACTTCGTATCCCAACCAGAAGAATATTAAAAGGGCATGAATATAAGTATGAGCGTAATTGAATTTTTATGAATTTGTCCATTTGTTGTCTTACTGCAAGTTAAATCACTATATGTTACTTGTTGAGTATACACCCTATCATAATCCACTGCTTCGTTGTTGTTGTTGAAACGTTGATATTGTTGATTTACTTTGGAAAATACAAGATTTTTATCTGTCTTTTCCACTTCACAATTTCATTCTGTCGTGCAGAAAAATACGTCTCCTCAATTGAAACAAATAGAAAGCCGTTGATAACCGTGGTAATTTTATGGCCGCCTAGTCGAATGTTGCTTTCTAGAACTGGGTTAAAGGCATTGTCCAGGTCCAATGTGGGATATTGGGGTCTTGACGCACTGTGATAGCACTGCTCCTGACTAACGCAACAGTCCGAGTCGGATTGGAAAAGGTAGACTCTGAAGCGGGAAAATCGCTTTGGAAAAAAAGGGGCATACTACTAATCCCGCCTCCATGACAAGTTTTGACGTGGTCAAGTAGATGTAGCGCATTCACCACGTCAAATCTTGTTAAAGGGGCGGGAGTAGCAGTACCACCCCTTTTTTCGGAGCGATTTTTCAGAGTCCACTTTTTTCAATCGGATCGGAACTGCTTTCCCAATACCACCAGTTGAACTGGACAAGACCTTCAAGTGCTACTTACACCTATGGTGTTACGAAAGCCCATTTGCTGGTACGAAGAGCTCAGATGCGGCGCGAGAGCAGGTGGCGAAAAAGTTTTTTGAGCTGAACGAACTGTGGAGCTGTTTACTACTATAGGGTGCCCCAAAAAGATGTGCACACTGTTTAATCTTTAATAACTCGCGTGTTTAAAGGTCGTTCTCAATTTTTGAACACCATTTTGTAGAGCTACTACAACTTAGACTCCTAGTAGGGAGCGAAACTCCAATCTCTCTTCGTTACTGTAGGATTAGTTTTGAACTTTCGGCATACAGCGCTGAAGAAAATCCAGAAAAATCTGGAAAATTGTGTATTTGCAATTTTACAAGCTTTTTGGGAATTTTGAAAAATGCAGTTGTTAGCGTTTTCTAAAATATCTTGATAGCAGAGTGTGTGCAAATTTCATACTCAAAATCAGCGACTTTCTAATTAGCCTGCATGGGATTTTTTGGCCTGTTCTGAGGCAAAACGCAACTCTCAAAGGCACTCCATTTAAATCAGAGGTCTTGGGCTTTCCACATTATGCGATAGCAGGGCCTCTTGTCAAGCCAGTGCCCAAGTCGCGGCCCAAAGTGACGGCTCCTAAGCGAGATTGCACTGGAATAACGAAAAGGCACGAGGATAATCAGGGAATCATAATTATCAGGGACATGGAGGGCCCCGGGACGACAAAAACATAAAAGTGAAAAATCTGGGTGGACGATGCCGATGGCCGTGTCGTTCGCCGAACTCTTGGACAGTGGCCATACTTCGCTCAAAAGCGCCCAAAAGCGCC